ACATGGGCCGATGGGTTTAAACGTTTAACTGATGCTGTGAAACAGTCAGTTACATCTGGAAACATCAAGGCTGTTTAAAGCCTCGTCATTATGGGGACTGGACGCTGGATGTCGCAGTGGCGCAGGTCCAGTCCAGATCCAGGGCTGAGAAACAAAAGGCTGATTCTCTCTGGCCATGGCCATATAAGGCAAAAGTGAGTACAGCTCAGAGACGGCGGTGGCAGCCCCGTGTGTGCCGTTACACCCAGATGACACCGACCACTCCCTTACACCGCGATCACCATAACTGAATTAACCATGCCCACATGTTTTAATTTTAATACATCACTTTAATTGTCGACGTGAATGAACTTCCGTGTTGTCAGTCATCAGGTGCATCTTTGTGTCGTGACCATCAAAAGATAATGTGAAAAAAAATTACTGACATGTGTTGGGTGTAACGTGATCTTTAACGAAATATCACATCAACCGTTTTTTACCATTTATACACGCCCATGAGCGATTCAAACTAAGTCTTTTAGGTATAATCCGTCTAATCTACCATCAGACTGTCTGTTTGAAATCGGAGACAACCGACACCGTGCTAAGGCGTGCATGTCACCGAGACGATGAAGGCAGCCCGATTTGTTAAACTGATGACAGCACATTGTAACCGGGTAATGTCACACCATCTGCCGAGGATAAACAACAGCATTGCCAACATATTTCTATAGTTAACAGTTACTGGTGGCATCTCCTCAAACTCAACCGGTGTTTAATCAGAATCACAGTGAATGAAAGGCAACGTGATGCAGCGAATGCCAACTAGAAGCTTCAACGATTTATAATGCTTTAAATTGAGGGAAGTCACCCAGATAACTCACACATCATAACTTAACCGGCTAACTAAATTAAGTTTGCTGGCTAAAGCAAAACTTGAACGTAGGTAAAAAGCACTCAAAATAAGCTTGCATATTGACTTACCTGTTTGAGGAAGGGCTATCGGCTTTGGGAAGTCTGTGAATGAGGGTTACACTCCGGTAGGATGTCTGAGTTTGACTGCAATAGAGGCCAATGATGTGCAGGGTTTTATTAGAGCCGGCGCTGCAGCCCCTTTCCATATAAGGACAACTTTCCGCACGGTGCCATCTGATTGGTCTGGCTGCCTCCACTGGGTGTGGCGCATGCAGATATCGCTCCTGCACTCTGACAAGAGAAGATGGGAAAAGCAACAGGAACACGAACCTAAACCCTACTATCAATACTATAAATCTGGGGTCGAGCAGTACAGTTCAATAACATACGTTTGTATTTCCCATTATGTCATTACAATGATAACAGCAAGTGGGATGATGAGGCAATGCACTTGTGCTAGAAATCACTGCAGAGTCCTTGAGTATGAAACAATTAGCTTTAATGTTATTTTCTATTGAACTAATTAGAACACCTTTATGTTATTAAGTCTAGCCTTTTATAGTTGTAATCCCTGATACATTATCCACATTGGGGACATTGAGGAGATTAATAGATTTGTGAGCCCCTGGGCACAGACATGCTAAAAGGCCCACCACCTCTCCTAAAAAGGAGCAATACAGTTAGACTGTAAAGTTATTTTACCCCTCTTTGTGTCTCTGTATAGTCATTTTGTGTCTCTTCCTGACAGCATAGTATGTGCATCTTGGAGTGACAATTTGTGTGTAGGTAGGTAGACTCTGCTTGATAAAATTACAAATAAAATGCAAATTCACTATGACACTTGGACGAGAGCCTTTTGGCTTGCAAATGATCGATACCTTCCACCCAAGCCCAAAGACTAAATTAAACTTTATCTCAGGTCTTGCCTGTTTTAGGGACTTGCAAAACAATGTATTGGGTCTGTTTTCCTAGTAATCCACCCATAACAGGGAGGGGGTCTACATATCCTGATTACACAAACTCTCCATCCACATTTTGCATATACCCATCTTATTGTCTTCTGTTGTAGCCTCTCGTGCATTGGATGGAAACCGCAGAACATCAATGATTCATCTAATTCAATTGAAGCACATAAGGGAATGCAACAGAACTAGGCTGATACATTTGCATATTCATGGCAGACACTTGTGGTAAGCAGTGCCAGGACATCACAATCTCAGGGTCACAGACAGCACCGTCAACACCCTGATTAACACGTCTGCCCTGGCATACCAGTGTGTCACACCACACAAAAACACACACACACATGCAGAGCAGAGTGATACTGATACATGTGGTCAAGCATAGCTGAGGCATGTTTACAGCAAACACTCAGTAGGCTGTAAATCTCTTATTGCTCATCACTTGTAATGTTTAAGTGGTCGGGGGCAGATTAACCGTGCCTGCCTCAATGAGTTGCGATACATAGGTGTGTATTTCTGGAATGTGACTATATTTGGTGTCAAATGAAAATATGGTGAGGCCTGATAAAATTGTTAATAAGGAATGGTACCTAGTCAGACAAGCATATTTGTATACACTCATCCAAATATGTCCCCAAAGACTTGAGTGTCTCCAACCTGCAAAACGTTTTCATGTTTATTTTTTGATAACACACTCAAGATGTCATGCAAAGCTCATCTCATAAATTGACCGGAGACTCAGAGTGGGTGGGTTAGGGTGCTGCTTTAACTCAATAAGGGCACTGGACAAAGACCCATACACTTACAAGCGACTTCTCACTGGCTCTATGTGTTCCTAATAAGGATATATAGGAGCCAGTACAGCAAAGGAGACAGGAAGTAGTTTTCATAGTGTTTTACTACATGCAGATGAATGCAGGAAGTGACCACACAGACCTACAAACACACACAACTGGCCTTGTGTAAGATCATCCAAGGATAAGATAGTAGGGGGTTGAGTGAGCTCATCAGGGAATTGGCGTTATCCTGCTTTAGACACAGACACACACACACACACACACACACACACACACACACACACACACACACACACACACACACACACACACACACACACACACACACACACACACACACACACTGGGCAGGACAACCATCCCTTTAAGAGTTCCTTTGGATGACGTCCATATAAGGAGATATTGGAGCTGGTCACATGGGAGGAAGAATGCACTGCTCATGTCATGTGACCAGTCTGAGGAAATGAATGAAACTCCCTTTTTAAGGATGTATGTGTGAGTGTGTCTGTGAGCAAATGTGCATGTTGCTTCAGGTTTAATTTCTGCATCCTTAATTCCCAGAGATGTACATGTATGTACTGATGAATGATTAATACACTCTTTGTCAGCACTACAAATCATTTGCTGCGGCTGTATATGTTCTGCCTTTTTGTGTCATCTTTCTTTGTGTCTATATTTCAATTCTGCTTTCTTCTTTGAACAATTGTATCAACTTTTCAAAACCTGCAGGTACTGTTCTTGATTATTTTCTGATATGTTTTAGAACGCCTTTTGTGACCCTTTGTCTATGGACTAAAGATGAAAAATAGACTTATGGATAATTCTGGCTGCATTGGAATTTGTACTTAGTAAATTACATTGTACCTTCTCTCAAACAAACTAAATTAAAGCTACATAAAATGGTATCACCAACATTTCTTAACTTGTTTTTTGTTATAATTTTGAAATAAGTGACTCCTCCTTGACAGTTATTTCCCAATGTTTCCTCTCATGACAGTCCTCAAGCAATTTCATTATTATGTTGCGTGCGTGAATCATGTATGCATTACAACACACAAACACACACATGCACACACTTATGAACACACTTCCTGCATTGCTCACTCACACAGTCAGGGAAATCCACAGGCCTGGCTCTTGGCTCTGACTAAGACCGTATATGGAAGAAGCTAGCAGGTAGCTTCTGTCCACTTATCACTCATCCCTATCTCTGGCGCCCTCTCTCTCCCTTTAACAAACGTTCACTCTCTTCCTTCATTCACCACATTTCCCCTCTACCCGTTTCATTCATTTCCTTATTTATTTCAGAGGAAAATGCCAATTATAGGAGTGCAATGCAGTATTTGCCTGTTTCACTCTCTACCAGTTTGTCCCAGTCATTTATGGCATCACATTCCAGCAGAGGTTCACACACAGCATCAAGAGGTGTGGCTTGTGTGTGAGTAAGTGTGTGTGTGTGTGAGTAAGTGTGTGTGTGTGTGTGTGTGTGTGTGTTCAAGTGAGTCAGAGAGAGGAACAAAGGTATGTGTAATACTTTGTCAAGTAATATTAGAAGATACAAGTTCCAGACTGACAAATACAAGTTAACACATCACACTAATTCCCCGGCCTCTGATTAAGCAGTGTGTCATTGAGTTGAATTTACAAAGACTTTACAGTGGTTTAGGCCCACATAGACCCCTTCATGTCTTTAAAACATATAAGCCCTCTCGCTTGATTTGATATTCTGTTCACCCATTACCAGAGTACAAACTAATCGTGGAGTATCATCATTTATTTATTATGTACAACATGGAGGTTGAACCGTGGCCAGCTTGGGAGCCTGAGGAAAAACATTGGCCATTATAGGCAAAATATTCTTTCCCATAGGTCATTTATAACAATAGAGTATATAAGATCAAATCATTTCCCCATACCCCTTTTAAAAATAGATTTATTTCAAATAGTGTCATTTGTTTATTTTTTATTTGCTTTATCAGAATATGATTAAATGAGCATGATCAATTATCAGACAGGGCACCATGATTAGGTTCAGTAATAATGTGGGCCACACCTTAGTTTTGAGTGTACTTTAAAACTGAATTATTAAACGATGTACAAAGAACAACCTGGGTTAGTAGTACACTTAATCAATGCTCGCCGAGAACAAACTTGTATATATTTTGAGTACAAATATTTAATTTAAATATTTTGTATTCTTTATTTGCGTTTGAATGGTTTATACTTTACTATTTGTGAAATGTTTTAATGCATTGTATAGAGCACTTCCACTGCCCTTGTGCTTGAAAAATGTGTACATGTTTGTACTTCACGAATACAAATCTTTGTCATGCAAAAAAACGGACATTTTAACTGCCAAAAAAACAAATAACACATTTATTGTTGCCCTGAGTAAGATTTGTGTTTATTAAAGCATTATATAAGACTCTGCACCATAGACAATTAGACAGCATCTTTGTTTTTCCATCTTTTCAGGATATTCTAAATCTTATCAGAGTTTGCATATAGGAAACATTTTGCAGCTTCAAACTGGTAGTAAACATTTAGCAGGTAACAATTTGACGAAATATACACTTATATACACATATACACTTATTATTTTTGAACGTTTTTCTCAACACAACAAGAAACTTTACAACATTTAAGACCTAATATGCAAGAATGAGCTGCAAAATACCAGTGTCAACATTTGAGTTGTTTCTTCTTTATGCTGTCAAGCAGTCCAGCTCTTCCCCAGGTCCACCAGCTCCATGCCCTCACAGTAGGACCGCGGCCTCGACACTCTCACCTGGTGAAAACAACACATCATTAAATATATTGAATTACACATCTCTATCTCTATGTCTCACAAACAAAGTGAAACACTCACTGCAGGCGTCCTGTGGGAGGCCAGCTGCTGTAGAAGTGGGAATGGAGTCCACTGGATGGGCTCCACAGGCCAGCTACACACAGAGAGGTCACTGGCCTTACCCGAGTCCAACACCCCATCCCCCATGCTCATCTCACTTCCTCTCCAACCATACTGAGAGCTACAGGGAATACACAGACAAAACATCATTTGTATGCTTTGTGTGTCAATATTTCCATATTTATATTTCATTGTAAAATCAGATTTCTATACATCCTAGAACATTGTTAACTATAGATTATCGTTGTATATTATACCTGTGTCCTTGTGCCAGATGCTGAAACCCAAATTGTCTCAAAAGGTGTGTGAGTGTGTCAATGAGCATTAGATCAGTAGAGCAGTTTGGTACTGTGGCAGCCCTGCCATCAGTGTATGAGTGGGTTAATGTTGGCGTGTAGTGTTAAAGCGCTTTGAGAGGACTAGAAAGGTGCTATATGAATGATTCCATATTCAAATGGTGTCAATTAATTACTTGTGAATGCAAATTTAAGTGGTCTGGGCTCGGTTGAAGGGGTGAAATGTTGCCCTCTATTTCTTTTAAGCAATTGGCCTGGCATTACACATATTACTTTAAAAGTGCTCAAGTTTACAAATGCTATTTCACATCCTGATCAGTTTTTCTTTATGTCTAATTTGGGTTTTCTAGAAATATCTTCGGCATGGTTTCACAAAAGACAAAAAACCTAACAGACAGATAGGTAGAAACAATCAAGATCCTAAAAGTGTATCGCAGAAATGTGATTTTAAACAGGACAAAAGGCAATTAATGACAGCTCTTGTTGGAGAATTACAATGATTACTAATGCTTAAAAAAGGGGCAACATCCCATAACAGGCAATGAAATCTAGCGCACCATTACTTTAACTAAAATTACAGGTTTTTATTGTAAGAACCCAACTTGAGATACAGCATATCATTTAGATCAGTTTGAGGAGGACAGACAGACCTTTTATTCCAGCATAATCCATAACTTTGTGATACTGTTAAGGTATATGGACCATTCAAGTGTGATATTTGACTTTTAGTGTGTCTGTGTGTCTGTGTCTGTGTGTGTGTACCTGTGCGGGTAGATTGTATTGATGCGTGTCCCATGGCTGGCAGAGGTGGAGGCCAGGGACAGCGTGTCGTCGTGGTAACAGCAGGGGCGGTCGAGCGCCCGCAGGTGCAGCAGCTCATTGGAGCGTGTGAAAGCGGGATTATCCAGTGAGTCAGCTGATCCGGCCCACGAGCGCAACCAGAACCGCCCTGAAAGCTCGTCAAAATGGTTGAACCTGCGATAGCTGCATAAAAAAATAATAAGATTAATATTTACAGGGTACACTTATATATTGTATTCATTTATTGTTTCTGCTTCAATTTGATCTGGGTTTAAGTAAGACAAACATTTTTCATACTTATATACAGTGTTGGACAGCAACTAAGTACATTTATTCAGTACTGTACTGTAATTTTTAGGAACTTTTTGCTTTAGTATTTCCATTTTCTTGCTTCTTTATACAGCTGCTCCTTCTGAGGAAACTATTTTATTTTTCACACCATTACATTTACTTGATAACTTTAGTTACATTGAAAACATGATGATTGACAATGCAAGATATAATTAAAAAAGATTAAAATACACTTTATTGACCCCTTGTTAGAATTCAAAAGATACCCGTCAGTATGTTAAAAAACAACTATAACATTAAAATGATGAACACATCAATCATACTCTAATATCATATATTACTATAAAACAGGTTGTTGTGCAGAAAAAATAATTTGACTACTTTAAGTATATTTTAATGCTAATACTTTTCTACTTTTAATTATATATACATATTATATAATATACTTGTGATATTTTGAATGTAGGTCCTTTACTTTCAACAGATTATTTCTGAACTGGTATTACTACTTTAAAAGATCTGAGTACTCTGTATATCTGTGTTATCCCATGTAATGTTACTGTGTCCACCATGATTACTTTCCTATTACTTTGGTTAGAAGAAAAAATACTTTTATTGTTAAAAGCCATCCAATACGTCTCTACGCGCAGCCCAGTGACACATGTTCATCTAGTGAGAGACAATTGAGGGTCAACAGTCTAATTGGTGGGTTGTTTCATTGATTTCTAGCTTCTTTGCAAAGTACATGACTCAATAAAGTGTTGAGGAAAAAAATAGAATCAATGTTGGGGAGATGTTCAAACGACAGTCAGCTGAATGTGCTCTCCGACTGGAGCTGCTGGAGGAAGTAAAGCTCAGATCGAAGGGTCAAACTTTCTCTGGACAGGAAGCTCTCTCCCTACTGTTAATGAGATACTGTTGATTTAAGGCTTAACCTCACAGAGTCGGAACTCTCTCCGTCTAAATCTGTACCCACTATTAGACGTTAATCTCAGTAATAGGATGTAGTAAAGTATCTCAGTTCAGGTAAACAAAACGCCCATGCTGCCCCACTCAGATGACAACATAAGTGTCTTTACACAACACAAGGCTGAAACCCGAAGTCAACTCTTCAAAGCGCTTTTATACCTCCAATTTATCAAGTCCACACAGGGCTATCAAGGGACACAATAATGTCTAATCCAGTGAACTACGTACATTTCATAGGCCAACATTTTCATATTTGATTTAAATGTATTTGATGTAGGCCTTAACAGTTTGAAAAAAAGGTCTAACTGCAATTTTATTATTTGCAATATAATTTAGCATTAATTAGCATTTATTTGCGACAAGGATCTGAACATAACAAAGGCTATGTCGGTATCTCTGCAGCCCAACAGTAGTAAACTCAGAATTGTATTTCAATGTGGACACATACATCTACAGTACCTACTCTGATTTGGACACTGCACCAATGTTGAATGTTCTCCCTAACTTAATGCGATAAGTTAACTTAAACTGCAAATTTCAGGCGGCACAAAAGAAGAATAGAATAGTTTGCCAGGTCCAAAATCACATTTATCCCTTCCTGGCCCAGCACCCTAACAGACTTGACGTGATGACAGTGAACGCATCATGGTACAAAATGAGGGCTGACAGCAGCATTTGGATTAAGTCTGGATGTCTCAACATTTTCCAAAGTCTTCAGCAAAACGTTCATCACAGTCTGTGGTTCTGCAGCCAGACTATGACACCTAGTGGACACAACTGCAATTACGTTTTATGTTTATGCAATTATTGCCATACTGTATACTGTAAGTGTCACAACACATGATTTCTCTACAAAGTGTCTATTGTGGTATTGTCATCTATGTTTAACAAACGTGTGTGTGTGTTTGTGTGTATGTGTGTGTGTGTGTTATGTTCTTCCCATTTTTATAGTCTTGCTTTTATGTGACGTGGTCTTTTAATTGCTTTTATTCTTTGTCTTTTTATAGACTTGTTTTTTTTTTGGATCTGTTTTCTTTAACTACGCCTAATTTTGTCTTGTTTTTGTCTGGCCTTACACTGAAAACACATCAGAGCAGAGGGAGAGTTAGTGCCTGCGGCGTAGCTGCCATGCGAGGTCTATGGAAACCGGCAACAGCTGTCACAGCGCTTTCCAAACTGCTTTTTTAAAGTAAATATCATTGTTATTGTTAATAATATTATTCTTAGAATATATGTATTGATTATTTACTTTGGTAATTTAGGGACTGTTCACCACACACTAACACAAACACAGTAATTATATGTGGGCATACCTGCTCCGAGTCTGATCCACTTTGGCCTGGATCAGAATGGCTCTGTAGCGCCGCACTGCAACGAGAGCCAGAATACCAATCATCGTCACCATGACGAGTAAGATGGCAAGACATGCGCCCACGAGACGCGCTCGAGTCATCCTCAGATCACACCTCTGACCCATGTACCAGAAGTCCACTCCTACGAGGCAGCTGACACACAAGGAAAAGGATAATTACATGCACAAAACATTATTGGATAGACGGAAAGATACAACATGATTGAGTGTATTAGTGCCTCTGTGCGCTCCTACCGGCAAACTGGAAGTTGTCCCGGGTGGTGAGTACAGATTCCTTGGTGGTGGCAGTAGTCGAAGTGGCAGACTGAAGAACAGCTATAGTTTGTGGTGCCAGGCTGAATCACACACTTGTAGCCTGCTGGACATTGTAGTAACCAGTCACACACATCACCCTGCAGACCTGTGTTAAAGAGTGAGGCGGGTGTTTACCACATTCTCATTATATCTACATAAAAACAACATTGTGTTAGTCAGTCTCAGTGCTTCCCTACCCTTTATGTGGCAGTGTTGAATTCATTAACGAAGACTATAATGACTTCTAGTTTTCCCACATTAGTTTTGGGGGATTTCACCTACAGTATGCAATGCAACTGTCTAAGGACAGAGGTAATCGTGTCCTGAACAGTCTGAAAAGGGAGCAAGAGTAAGCCAATTTCAATACATAAGCTACTAAGGAGGTAAATCAAAAAATTGTTTTCTTAAATATGAAGTCTACCTTTAAATAAAAAAAGGTAAAGCAATCCACAAAGACTCGGAAAAGGTTTGCACACATAAAAATAAATGTAAAATGAGTACAGTAAGATGATAACATGCCAAAATAACAAGTTAAATAGTAATACCAATGAGCCAGACATGTTAATCAGATTTCTCAGAACTGGACTGCGAGCTCAACCGAGTTACGATGTTTGCATGAGTCCATCTGTAACTGGGGTAATTAAGTAAGCATGTTAAGGGTGGAATTTCTTCTCAGATAAATGAAGACACTGTGACCGACTGCTAACCTGGACTTTTAACCTTCATTAACAGAGCAACATTATCAAATGTTTTCAAATTAAAAGAGTCAAGGATAGAGGAAAGTCAAGGAAGAAAGGCGAACAACATGCACAGGGCGGCCTAAAAGTTAGCCATCTTTGTTTAAAGGGACCCTACTATGCTAATTTTCAGGTTCATATTTGTATTTTGTGCCTCTACTGTGACATGAGTACATGCTTTATTCTTCAAAAAGGTCTTTATTCTACTCATAATGCCTGTGCTGCAGCCCCTCTTTTCACCCTATGTCTGAAAACAGAGCCCAGTCTGCTCTGATTGGATAGCCAGCCGGCTCTGTTGTGATTGGTCAACCGCTTAGAGAGACAGGAACTTCCTCAGGAGGGAACTTTGGCGTTTTATCCTTTGCAGACCATTTGCATGCACAACAACCTATATAACACTCGACAAGAAAGGGAAAACCCCCAAAAAGCATAAACATGCCTTTTTAAAGTGTATGTGGGCATCTCAACCCAGGCTTACCTCCCATGTGGGATGTGTGGGTAATCCTTGGATGATCTGAAGCTCCCTCCCCTCGCTGAGAGGCTTCAGATAGTCCTGTTCGTTCCAACAGTGATGAGGGTCCTTCATGCCGAAGCACTGCAAGAGCTTCCGCTGGTTTCAAACCCACCACACTCATGCACTGCATGGCCATCTAAAAAACAGCAACACATTCACCTTCAAGCCACTCTATTTACGATAACCTCACCACAGTGTGTGCCGCCTCGTGGGTTTCGCACTGTATTGGAGTCATGCCAATTTTCCACGAAAATGTAAAAACCTTGCCATTCCTCAAAATGAGAAACCCTGAAGGTTGTTTTATGACACTTAATTGCTGTTCTGGACTGTACGAGTATGTCTGAACGGCCAGATAAAGCTGGCCAACTAGCCAAATGACATAGTGACACCATATTTCCCCTCCATTAGGGAAATTAAGGAGGCAGCAACAGAGCTATAAAGAGGAATGCATTTTGATTGGAACAGGAAAGCAATGAAGACATTAAAATTAAAGGAAGTTAACACCGTATTTTGATGTGTAAATAAGCAACTGATTTATAGGTATCAAATGTCCAAATTGTTAAAAACTGTGACTTGAATTCAATGGTTATACATAAGCCACACACTAGGACTGAAATGCAGTTTAGTTTAAAGACATGTGGCCCCTCTTAAACACTCCTTACCCTGCGCCAGACTCCCCCAGAAAGCCTGCTGAACCCGGGAAGCTTTCCGTAGTGTAATGGATCACACCTGGACTAAAAACAGGGAGGGATAAAAACTTTGTAGCATGCGTGCCTACCTAAAGAAGACTGCTAAAGCTGTCTTATGGATTTATTTGGGGTTTTATTCCCTGCGGGTGTGTGTGTGAATAGTCTCACCCCAGGCACGGCGGTGTCTTCCTCCAAAACCAGAAAGTAAAAGCCGATCTTGGAATCTCTAACAGAGGATCTGAAGCAGAGCAGCTCAATCCGACTCGACTGGACATATACAAGCCAAATAAAAAAAATTAAAACAAATGTAGACAACAGAAACATATTATTTACGTAGATATGTTTGGAATGTTTTGAAGTGGGAATTGTATTGGTACGTAACTGATGTCTGTAATTAGTACAGATGATCGTGAAACTTTTGTCCAATCTGAACTACAAGGTTTTTAAAAAATATATAATTTTAATAATCTTTTGGGGATTTTTCCTTCAATGATAAAACCGAACAGGAAGGGAGAGAGAGGACACGTGCAGGCATAGAAGGGGTAGTTTTTCAGACAAGAGATACACAGTGATAATTCCCACTCTAAACCAGGTAAGCTACCACCAGTGCATCACCTGTTGTATTTTCCAAATAGTGAACAAGTGACATTGCAATATTTTTGCCTTTTGCCAGCCACAAGGAGAATAATGTTGCTATAGTTCAAGACATAAATCAAACTCTCATTCAAGAAATCAAAATGCAGATCTTGTCAAATGCAATCTTGGCTGATAATAGTTTACTTTTTTTGGATATATCCGTTACTAGGCCAACATTTGAACGCATGAATAGAGTAACTCATACAATCCGCCCGTTTCAAACATCCTAAATAGTCAATAATCCCACACAAATCTTTTATCATACCTTTGATGGCTGCAGGTTTTTGGGTCCGGCACAATGTAGAATTGGGTGTCTGACTGGTTGTGGGAGCTTAAATTTGGGCAGCGGAGGTTAAAAACAGGAAAGGTGTGAATACCACATGGTTATTTTTTCCCTGCTGTCATATGGTGCCTGTCCAGCGAATGGAGCTTCCAGTTGTCTGTGGAGCTCTCTCTTCTGTGTTAGTTGGGTTGCGGCTGGAAAGCCACTGCCAAGACTTCATTCTGTACTCACCTACTCTTTTTTTCCATCTCTGCTTTTACAGTTGTGAGTGAGACCAGAGGGAGTTTTGGGTAGTAGTAAGGGTAGTGGTTTAACGCTGTTCATGTGGTGACTGAGACATCAACGGACGATGCGTAATAGGCAGGGTTTTATGTGCATTGAGTGTGTGTGGAAGATTGTTTGTGAGGGTATACGGCGTGGTTTTTGTTGTTGATAGAAGAGTGTTGTTGTGCAGCGGACAGTCAGTGGTAATCGGAGGCGGCAAGAGCAGGGGTGCGTGTGTTGAATGTGAACCCAACCAGGAGAAACGTAGGTGGTGTGTGTTTTGGAGGGTGGGTTTTGAAGGTGTTGATGAGTGCTATGGACCCCCTATACCTGGAGGACAAAACAAGGACGGGACGTCTGTAATTTGTGGGCGAGTTCGTCATGTAAGAGTGTATTAAGTGGGAAGGCAGGGGTGTACGTTTTCCGTGTCAGTAACTACATCTCCCACGTCCGTCAGGTCTTCTCTGGGTGTAGACAGCAAAACTGTGAGAGCCAAAGTTGCCATCCATCATCACTATTGAGTAAAAGTCAGGCATGAGGGAGGAGACGAGCAGTCTTTTTTAGTAGCCATTTCTGTACCTACTTATTTCTTTGTGTCGCTTGTTTTTGTTTGCTTCTTTGTTGTCCGCAGGCGTAAGATGGGGAGGGAATGTATGGCAGGAGACTGGCGGAGTGTGTGAAGCTCTCATGTGCTTTGTGGAGAGTTGTTTTTGCTCTGCTGGTGGAAGAGTAAGAATGTCACAGCATCTCTGTGTTTTCAATGTATCCAGAGGCCTTTAGAACGCAACGTTTTTGCTTGTAGCATATGAGCGCAGATATGCAGTATTGAGTCAGTACTGTTTTTTTTAGGATGAAATGAAGCAGCCTTCTATTACAGCACCAAAGAGGGTGTCGGGCTCAGTTTGTGGTGGGTGGTGGATGAATGAGTTTCTGCTTGGTGTGCCTGTAAGGAGTTGATAATGATGCAGTGGGGTTCAGTTGTGAGAGGCGTGTGGCTCTTTGAGTCATCCGCTGCTGACAGGTCGGTGGAAGATGTTTAAAGGATCAAGGTGACAGTGGAAGGTCAAATCAGAGTGGAAGTCTGTCTGTGGCTTTCGCTTGCTTCCTCCAGGAATGGGGTAGTTTTTCTTCTACAGATGCGCACTTAGCAGCTCCACCACGTTGGGATTGGGATGGTTGCCTAATCTCCCGGGTTGTTTTCGTGAAGGTTGGCTCCAGAGGGGGGAGGAGGTGAAAAGATTTGGGACCGCGTGAGAGGCGTAGATGATGCTTGTTGGGGTGGGATAGACTAGTTTTTTAGAATGTGCTGTATATTTTGTGTTTATCTGTGCCATGCAAAGTGTCAGAGCACGTGTCAGTGGCCATATGTGTACGAGGGGCTCGTAAGCGGTAATTTTTTTCCTTCTGGGTGTTGTGGATGTGTGAAAACAGTGGTATCTGTGGCTTAGAGCTTGTCAAAAATAGGAGGTGTGGTGCCGCTCTCTGGCAGACATTTGCCATCAGCGAGGTGACGGCTCGCAGATGTTATCCGCTCGCATTGTTTCGGTTCTTCCTAAGGAAGAGGGAGCGTTTTCCCTATCGCCTCTCCCAGCGACACAGTGAGTCGACTGCAAGGGGTGAGGGGTGGGGCGCAGCAGCCGCCTGGTGCGCTGAAGAGGAGGGACTAGACGCAGACGAGGCCCATAACTCTGCTCAGACTTCGTAGATACGACTCTTGGGCCCCCTTCCTTGTTTCGCGCTCCCAACATCTTGACGCAAACGAGGGCTTGTGCTTTGTAAGTGGTTTCGGCTGACTCAGAGCAACTCAAAAGGTTGAATTTGTAGGGCTGGTGTTGTCTGCCGAGGAATTCCTCCCATTTTCCGGACTGATGACCAGAAACAAACACAAAAGCAGAGAGGGAG